ATAATTTTGGGTCTGGGAAAAAGAAAGAAGAGGCAGGCTAGTTATCCCTTGAAGGGGAGAGCTGGAGGCTGTAACCTAGATTGTGATCTTGTTCCCATCATAGAGGAGCATGGCTGTCTTCCTGAGCCAGGCTTTCTGGATGATGAAGAAAAGAGCCCTCTTAGGAAGAAGGCTTGATGCACTTTGTTAAAACCTGGGTGCTGCTTTGACCCAGTGGGCAAGGAAGAAACACTATAGAACTCATTAAACCCTTTGGAGACTCTTGTATGCTCTGAAATTTTACTTCACTGGTTGCATAAAGTATTGCATTTATCTCTTTACGAATGGCAAGCCCTACACAAAAACAAGCCAACCTGGCTTTTCTGGGGTGAGGTGACGAGAAGGGAGGAGGACGGGAGGTTGACCGAATGGAGTCAGATCTGGACAGGTTGGGGTGTGACGAGAAGGAGGAATGACTTGGGAGAGTGGAACTCTAACTGCAGCATGTGGGAAATCAAAATTAGAGCAATGGGTCTCTGCAGGAAGGTGCCATTTGAAATGGAAACATGATAAATGCACCCCTTTATTTCCTTGGGCAACAGAGTGTAGAGGAAATGTTGTGTGGCTGACAATATTTAATTTTCCCCATCATGAAGTGGTGATCATCACAATGTCTACCTCGTTGAGTGAGTAAATGCTGTGTGTGTCTGGTATTTAGAAAGTAGAAGGCACACAGTAGGTGCTCCATGAATGTTAGCTATTGTTACAGTTTCTGTCTGGAATGTTCCCGAAATTATATTAAAGGCCTCTCCAGCAGGTGGTGTTACTGTGAGATGGTGCAATTTTTCAGAGGTGGAGCCTAATGGGACAAAGTTAGGTCATTGGGGTGCACCCCTGAGGACCCCTGGCCCTTCCTGGTAATGAGGTGAGTAGCTTTGTTCTACCACGCTGTCCCTGTGATGGCATGCCACCTCACCATGGGCCCTAAAATAACAGCCAGCTAACCATGGACTGGAATCTATGAAACTGGGAACTAAAATAAACTCCTTCTCCTTTTAAGCTGCTTACGTCAGGTATTTCGCCAGAGGGACAGAAAGCTATCATGATCATTTATTGTTACGATCATCATTGTTGTTGTTATCATTATTTAAGGCAAGACTGCCTCCAGTCTGTCCTACGAAAGGCTGGCCAGTGCCTGTGATTCTTCTATCCACAGCTGACTAGGTGACAGATAAAAGATAGCCACCTGTATGTGTCACCTGGAGGACATATCTACCTGAGAACTATCGAAAAGATGGGTTGGGCCAGTGCAAGCCTGTGTCTAAACTAGCACACTGGCAAAATGTCCGGAGCATGCTGGTGCAGCAGAAACAGACACAGTGTGTGAGCTGAGTTCTGGGAACAGGGGGAGTCCAGGGAAGCGATTTTGAGCTGTTTGTTTACGAATCTCTGAGGGCCAGCCCAAGCCATGCCTGCTCTAAGATCACCAGAACATTCCCTGTTCCTCTACCCGTAATCCCATCACAAAGCCGCTTGGCTTGTGCTACCTTGAGGGAGTTTGTAACACAAACAGCCAATATGAAGGAACCATCTGTCTCTCTGGTGAGGAGTTCACACATACTTTCTGTTTTCTTCTCTTTATTGTTCTGTCTCAGCTGTATTTTCTATAGTAACCCTGTATAATTTATAATTTTGTATAGTGAAATACTTATAACCAGGAAATAACCATCCACTTTAAAACCACTCATTCAATAATCACCTATTTTACAGTCAGTCATTCCCTTGCTGCAAGCAGGAGGAGGTATAGGAAATACTAGTGAACTCTAGGCCAGGGCTGTGCTTCTGGGGCTCCTTTACCTCTAAGCAGGTGACCATGGCCATGCTGCCTGGCTTTCTCAGCCTCAATCCCAAAGTGAGAAACTGGTTAAGGAACCTCTAGGCTCATTCCAAATGCTGTGCTTAGCAGAATCTGTTCCCCAATCCTACAGCTGGTCCCCAAAGTTGTTTACTCCAGAGTCAGATTTTGCTCCACACTGGAAGTTGAGCCTTGTTTGTTCGTTTGTTTTGTGTTTAAAAATGGGAATTGAACTCAGGACCTTGTGCTTGCCAGGCAGATGCTGTGTGGCTGAGCTGTATCCCCAGCCTAAGTTGTAAATAGGGGAGGGGCTGGTGGCAGCATTGTTGGAAACCTATTTAGTTCGCCATTCATTCTGTTACTTTGACCATTGTTATTATGAGTAAAGCCTATTGGTGAGGCCAGGGTGGGGATGTGCTTTCTGGAGAAGCCCTTAGAAGGATAAGAGTTTTCCAGGCAGATAAGAGGCTTCGCCTTCCAGGAAGTGATAGAATAAACAGAACGGTGCAGAGGCAGGAATGAGCTGGATGCTGATGGAGTCATGCGGTACCTTGCGGCCACACGAGGTTCTGATGCAAGCCAGGGAGGACCAGGAGATATCAACAAATTCTTGGGAGTGAGAGCCTCAGCGTATATTGTACTAGGGAGGCTGGATGTCGTCCTTAAGAAAATGAGAACCGCCTCAGCAAGGCATCTTTGATAGACAATTCCCTCTGCAGTATGGAGACATGGAGGGGACAGAGACCATTCGCAGGAGCCCAGAACAGACCCACAGCATGTCTGAATAAACACATGGTCTGAACCACATGGGTGGCTGCAGCAATAAGGTTCTGTGACTGGAACTGGGGAAGAGGAAGGAACGACTTGGGTTCTGATGGATGCAAATGGGAAAAGGGTCTCAGAAAAACAATACACAAAAGAAGACACGTGGTGTATAATAATTGAACCAAGGCTTCCTTTGAGACACCAGATGGAAAGATCCACCAGAAAACAAGACATTTTTCAGCAGGGTTGGGAAGGACTTCCTGGACCTCACAGTGGGACGAGGGCCCTCCCTGAAGGGAACCTCAGCATGCTGCTGTGCTCCTGGAGAGAAGTCAGCATTGGTGAAATCCATGTGCACAAGGGGCTGACCATCTGACCGTGATGGGCAAGCACAGTAGTTCAGAAGAGACTCAGCACAGAGAATGCAAGACAGGATCGGAGCGTGGCGGCAGATACTAGGAAAGATGAAGCAAGGAGATGTAAGCAGGAGGAAATGAGCGCAGAGAGTGAACCCCACAGCCGGGGCACTGGGGCTGAAGTGAGCCTCAGGTTTGAGGGTGGGAGTCCCACTGTAACCCAAAGGTCCGCGGCAGTTTTCCTGGCCACAGAATCTCTCCTCTGGCTGCCTGGCTGGCTCCTGATGTCAGTGTGCCCAACACTGCTCCTGTCTTGCTTCCCTTACGGCTTACCTAGCTTCCCAGGCTTTGACCTGGAAGTTCTTTTTATTCTTTTTCTCTCTCTGCTTGCCTGAAAGTATAACAGGCTGCCCAGACTCAGAAATTTAGTCATGATTTTCTTCTTTCTCCTCCTCCCTTTCCTTTATCCACTTAGTCCCCATTCATTATTAAAACTTTTTCAGTGGTTTTTCCACCAGGAAATAGCATGATTCAGGCTCCTTTGACAATGCATTTAAATTAGTATTGACCTATTTAAATGGAACCACCACGGCTTATTTTTATGCCTCCACCCCTCCCCCACCCCTCCTAATGAGACTTGCTGCTTGTGATCTTGCTTTCTGAGCTCTCTCCCCTCCCCCCTCATCACTCCCCGTGTCTTGCTCTTGTTTTCTTCTCAACATATGTCAGCAACCAGCACCCCTTCCGTCCTTCAGGGAAAGATGCATTGTGCCCAGTTCTCCGGTCACCAAGCAGCCAGCACCCTCCTGTGGGCCTGGGGTTGTGCCCTCCTCTGCTCTGGGCACCAGAGGCTATGGGTGGAGTTCTTTTCATCTGTTCTCCTCCGAGCTCCTCCACAAGCCTCCCGGAGCATTCCCCAGCCTGCTGCAACACAGACACAGGAGGGATAGCGAAGAAGGCCTGTGCAAATAGGGGTTTAAATAAAGCTAAGCAGTTCAGACAAGAACTAATCCAAGCCATCACAGAAGGGCACTTGTTTGGCGGCCAGATCAGAGTCAAGGCAAACGCTTGGGCTCCCTGGAATTGGGTCTGCAGAATGTGCTTACAAGGCTGGAAGACAGAGCAGCCTGTTTCAGATCACAAGCTGGCATGCCCTGGTTGCCCATGGCAACCCAGCTGTGCTGGAGTGCTAGCGTTTGTAAATGTGTGTGGGCTTAAAATTGTATTATTGATTCTGTCTGAAAGACGATAGTCTGATTTGTATATAGCTCTGAATAAATTACTCATTATCCTTTACAGCCATCAGAGTATGAGCTTCCCTCCTGTTTTCTTTTTTCCTTTTCTGTCTTTCTTCTTCTTTTTTAGAAAGAGACAGCAAATTGTGTCAGCAGATGTGAAATGAAATGTTTCCCATAACAACCATAGTAGAGAAATCAACATCCAGGGCACTCACCCGGAAAGCAGTCCAGCATTTCTGAATAAATAATGGATGGATTTGGAGTGATGGAACCTGCACTGGGTAATCTATTCCAAAGGGACTATAATTACAGTGGAGAATACTCAGGGACAGAGAGAAGAAAGCTTTCTGTTCATTTCTTCCCATGCATGGTTAAAGGGTAAGGATTGTCCCAGTCCTCACCCTCTCTGTGTCCATGTTCTTTGCCTTATAACTGAGGCTCCGCCCCCAAAAAGACATCAGATGTTGCCCTTGACCTCGGACTTGGTCTTGCACTTGCTTGAAATAATCTGAAAAAGTGGCAGCATGCCATGCCACTTCTGGGCCTAGAGTTAAAAAGCACAAGAGCCACCCTCTTGTGCTTTCATCATCTTTATGAGAAGACCATTCTTCAGGCAGCTCCTGCTCTTTCTGCTGGAACCCAAATGAATACCCATGGGGCAGAATCACTCCCATCAAACCCAACTAGACCGAGAATTTGAATTCCCCAGCCTGTACCCATCACTCCAGCCAAGCTACAGACTCCTGTAAAAGAAATGCTCATTGCTGTCCAGGTGGTTATCAAACAGCATTAGCTGACTGGACTCACCCTCCATCTTTCTTATATCCTGGGAGTCGGTGCTATGGTTCTGAAGATGGCTTATGCCCCCTCAGTAGTCCACTGTGGTTGAAGGTTCATCTGTAGAGTGGAGGCACTGGGATAGTTTGGAGGTGGGATCTTAGGTTACCGCGAGAGTAAGAGAGTTCACATGTGAACCGTTGGGTTCTGCTGAAAGAATTTTTATGAAGGGAATAAGTCTGGCCCTAGCCTTTCCCTGCTCTTGGTTCACGATGTAGTCCCTTGTTTGCTCCCACACACATTCCTGCCCTTGCTCTGTACACCGTGAGGTGATTCAGCCAAGGGCTGGCCTTGCTGAGACTGTGTTATGTTGTTCGGATTTTCAGATGCCACAATTGTGAGTCAATTTTTGCGTAATACCATTTCAGTTCTCTTTGGGTGTACCCTGGCATTGCTCCTGGAGCATCTGGAGCCCGAGGCATCTATGAGAAACTCCAAGCGCATCGCCATCCCCTACTTCCTCTGCTTTCACACGGTAGGAATGTTTTGGAATGGAAAGACAAATGCGTCATACTACTCAAAAAGTGCTGTGACCTTCCATCCCAGACAGATGCCTTCTTTGGAATGCCACACATATTACCCTCATGTTCTTTCCAACCTCCATGTTTTCATTCTTCAGCAATGATAGGACCTACATGAGTAATCCAATCAAATTCCAGCAAATGCTGAGCGTATACTGTGGGCTGGGCCCTCAGAATAGTGCATGAGATCCTGAGTTAAACAAAAGAAAAATGCTCAGTGTAGGTATTTAAGGAAGGTAGGAGTCAAAGCATCTGTTTTAGAGAACTAGGCAGACAAAGGTGCCACTTATTAAACTGGAAACACCTGAGGAGCTGCTGGTTTGGGAGACTATAAACAGTTCCATTTTATACATGTTACAATTAGATGCTTCCGGTACACAAAGGAAGAAATGTCAAGTCCAAAGTTAGGTGTCCAAATATGGAGCAAGAGGAGCAGTTGGGGTTGCCAGGAAGGTTACCAGGATGCAAATGGTACTTAAAACCAGAAGAGTGGATGGAATCGCCTCAGTAGAACTTGCCTAGAGAAAAAAGAAGAGGGCCTGCACTGTGTCCTGGGGAGCCTCAAAATCTAGAGGACAGGTAGAGGCCGTAGAGTAGCCGGAGCTACGAAAGACAGAGGGCAGAAGCCAAGAGCACGTGTAGCGAAGGTGCTGGTGCTGGCCTGTCCATGTCTGGTCTCTCTACAGCTGACGGAACTGTGCCTTCATGGAGTTGGGGCTCATGGCCTCGCTGAAGAGAGAGGGTTTCCCCTTGTTCAGGTGGAAGTCATGGGTTCACAGCCAGCCACGGTAACCCACTGTCCTTGCTGGTTTGGGATTAGACATGAGCATGTGATACAACACTGGCTGGGTTAGACATGAGTAGAATTCTACTGGATGGCTCTTGGAAAAGGTCTATTTTTCAAGACAAAAAAGAAAACTGAGCTCTTTTCCTGCCTCAGCTTTGGCTTTTAGACAGAGACGATGACACTGTCTTGCAGCCAGGATGCATGTGGGGACAAAGTCTGAAAAAGCCAGGGGGGTGGTGACGCAATCCTAGCATTCTGGGAGGTCGAGAAAAGAGGTTCACAAATTCACACCCAGCCTGGCAACTGTACAAGAACTCCAAATAAATAGTAAGAAGAGGGCTGGGAATACATCGAGCTTATTGTGAAGGCCCTGGGTTCAATTCCTCATGTTGGGGGACAATGGGGGTTGGACAGCTCAAACAATGAGGGCAGAAAGAATATTTGACTGAAGTGCATTGAATTAACCAACTATGGAGAACTCTCTACCACTAGCTTTAATTTTCAGTATGGCAATTAATTTTCCCAATGGCACTGTGGTTCTTCTACGACTCATAGCCAAGAGTGGATTAAGTCATAACTGATTTTACCAGCACAGAAGGGAATGCTCACCTCATAACTTACGGTTCCTTTTACCTGATTTGAGTAAATAATAGTTCTGTAATCTTTTAAGCGTATTGGTTTTCAATCCTGACACTAATTTAACATTATATTTGCAGTTTGTATCTTTCAACCATCAAAAACCAAACTCTTCTTCCGAGCTAAGAGAATAACTTTGCTTCCTCGCCTCAGAAGAAATGGACTGATTTCTGTTACAGCATTTCATCAACACTTGGCAAATAAAAAGAGACCAAAAGACTAAGCTACACATATTTTAGAACTTACTATCTTGCAACTTGGAAAAGATAAGATTCATGGTAGAGAAATGTGAAAAGAAAAAGTAGATGCCTAGCGGTCAGGACAAGAAAATTAGATAGAATAAAATGCCCTGAAGTCAAAATGTTTGAAATGGCGTTTATAACCTTAATTAGCCAGATTCTGGGCTGTAGGATCGGCATCTTCAGAAATGGTTTTGGAGGGCCTTACAGCTTTTTGGATAGTTTTCTTTATTCAATGAATGCTTCTAAAAGCTTTAATTTTACATTAATCAAGAGTCCTCATGATAGTCTCAGGATTTACACAAATTCAAGGGTTTTTTTTTTTTTGAAAGAGTAATTAATTTATCAAGGCAGAGGCTCTGATCACAGGGGCAAAATTCCTTAGCAACAGGCAGTTAAACACGCAGAGTCGCTGCGTTGCTGGGCAGGTCTTCTGTGCCAGGCTGGGGAGGAGCGTGGTAAGGCTCCATGATGAATGGGAAAAACCTCTTTCTATCTTCTCCTGAGGAGTAAAGCCTGCTTTATTGACAATGTAAACAGTTACCGTATACTACCCTTTTTTTTTTTTTAAACAAGAAACAGCTCTGTGCTTGGACTCCAGCTCAGAGAATTCTGGAAAAATCTACTAGAATAAAAATAAATCAAGAAGTAAATGAGACTCTGCCTTACGTGTTAACATGAGACGTTTCTAAACTTCCCGAGGCAGAACTTGTTCTTCTTCCTTTCCAGTTCATGATAGCAGATAGCAAAGCCTCCCAGGGACTCTAAACTCACAAGAATTGTGCTCACTTGATCTCTTGGAGCAATTTCTAATGATGATGGAAGGGCTGGTGAAGAAAATTGCTCTGTCTTCTTGCCAGGAGCAGTGTGAGTGCTGATGAAGTCTACTCAAGACAGAGGCTCACCTTCCGCTGTGTGCAGCTGGGTCTGTAATAGGAGCACCAGAGAGCTTCCTGGGCTCCCTGCCCCTCCCCAGGTGCTTTAATCCTAGCACAGGTAATGGTTATTGATGCTATTGTAAAGTTGAGGACAGGAGAGACAATGTTAGGAGAAAAACAACTCTGGTATTGAAAGTTTCCCAGTTAGGGTGTGATCAACAATAATATATTTTGATTATTTGGATGCCATCTGCTGTTCAAGACTACATCTTTGATTACCAAATCCCATTCTTTCTTTCCTTCCACATTTCAGGTAGCAGCTCTATTTTTCTAATTTCTTAAGGCAAAACCTTAAGAATCATCTTTCTCCCTCAAACTTACACAGAGTCCACCCATCAGCCCCATTCACTCTATCTTTGTATCCATCCAACCTACCACTCCTCCACCAGTATCTTCTAGGCTTGGAAGTTCATGTCTCTCACTTGGACTGGGATATAACCTCCTATTAGTCTCCCTATTTCAACTTCTGTCTTCTTACAAAGTCATATGTAGAAAGCTGTGATTTGTTTGTTTGTTTTTGGTACTGGGGATCGAACTCATAACCAGGCAGGTGATTATACCACTGAGCTAAATCCCCAGCCTCTAGCTGTGATCTTTTAAATCAGAAGTTGGATCATGTCAGTTCTCTACTTAAAACCCTGCCATACTTCTCCTCTAATTCAAAGTACAATCCAAAGGCTGTAGGATAGGTCCCATGGCCCTACACAGCCTGCCCATCCCCTGTCTGATCGTACCTGCCTCCATTCACCCCTCATTTCTCTGGGACCACACTGACCTTTTCGGAGAACAGGCAGGGTCCTGCACTTATTCCCTTTACTTAGGAATCTCTCCCTCTACATAGCCACAGGTTGTTTCTTTTTCCTCCTTTCCACCAGCAGTGAGTATAATGCCATCTTAGTGTAATGAGATCTTCCCTAAAACTTCTTCATAAGCTTGCAACCCCTAGGCTTCTTAGTCTCCTTAGCTAGCTGTATTTTTCTTCATAGTCCTGAATTTCATATTGTGTTATATATTTACATGGTATATTATATATGAAATTCATATTTGTATCATATGTGTTATTTATATTTATTTTTCTACATACCATGGTACATCATTATAGCCTACCTTTACCTATTAGTTTATTATCAATTTTCTTCCTTCAGAGTATAATTTGATGGTTTTTTTTATGAGTCCCGGAGTCTAGAAGAATGAATGAATCGTACTTCCCAAGTTGCTACTTTTTCCCAAACACTTTCTTTACCTCACCCTTGTAATAACCTCCTGAAATGTTGTGATCCTAACACAGAAGAAAAGAAGCCCAAAGCTGAGATTGAGATTTCACAATCAGCAAGTGACCAAGACATTTTCAGTTTTTGCTATGGGCTGGCTCTGCAATGTATCCAGAGAGTGGGGTTCCTTGAACTGTGGGTTCAAATATACCATTGGCCTCATCTCTATTCTTATAAAAAGGGTGATGATGGTCTAACTTTAAGTACTACACAAGATTTTATCCAGCATAGAACTATGACATCAAGTCTTTCAGATAATGTTAACTGTGGTAAATGATGATGTAGTTGGGGTTTTGTTGGTCGATTTGTTTTTGTCCCAGTCTTGCCCTTACTCTTTGGCTACCACGACTCTCTCTTGTCAAAAGTCCACTTTGTCCAGTAGGTGAGTTGACTTCTGTCTCTGCCTTGTTCCTCTCAGCAGTCACCACTACCATTATTAATAGGTTAATTTGCTGAAAATCTTTTTCAACTCCACATTTATGGGAAGATGTATAAAAATAAGATCACACCATTTTGTAACCTATGTTCTCCCTCTTAGCAAGATAGCTAGACTGTTTCTATATCAATAAATATAGAGCCAAAAGCACAAGCAATATTTTATCCTGAATTTATTGACAGTCCTCAATTTGTAAACAAGAGGCTTATAGACACTTTTCACTGGTTTTGTATGGTAATTCAATTATAAACAAAAATAATTGGTGTCTTAGTTACTTTTCTCTTTGCTGAGACAAAATACCTGACATTCAAAGTTAAAAGGGGAAAGGTTTATTTAA